GCATAAAAAGCCTAACAATTTAATTACAAAGCAACACAAAGCCAATGACAGCTGTTTATATGACAATTCAAGTGGCGGTTTCCTAATATGAAGAAGGAGCTTAATATAGCTTTCTATAGTGTTCATATCATGAATCTTCAACAAGAGACCTTCCCTGGCAGAGCTCTTTAAAATAAAATATTAGCAATGAAACAAATACTAGGGTAAATATTCAAGACTCAGACACTATCCAGGTAAGAACTTTATATAACTATGCTTACTACTATACTAGAAAGTTTTGCTAATACAGAAGTATTTTTGCCTTTGGAGCTGCAATACTGAAACTCTGAACGCAAGTTAGAAAACACAGTTGAGTTTAACAAGAACTTAACTGAAATTAGAAATGAAATTGTAGGAGCTTCCACAAAGAATCAAGTGGCAGCCGCTAAAAAAACCCAACCTATTTAAAAGCTTTACATCATCAGAACAAGTTTTCATCAGCTGATTCTACCCTAAGGACATGACACTTACTAGCATCTTCTGAACACCTCTGCTTTTTAAGAGACTAAACCATTTCTTGGGAGATACTAAAAGTGTCTGATATTGCAATTACATTGGACTCTGAAATGAAGGATGACAGGATTCTGAAAGACTCCATGGATCAGAACCGTTCAGAAGGAAAGAAAGGAATTGAGGAATGGATTCACTTATTTTCCCATTTAGATAAAACATTATCACTATGAGAAAGGGGCGACCCTTGTCAAGCAAGCTTATCTTTTAAAGTATTTTGTCTAAATAAGCTCCTTTACAGTACACAGATGATGTGATTCCTGCCACAAGGGACATACAATCTAGAAGACAGACTTTACCATTCAGCCAAATCACATATTAGCTGAAAGGTGACATGTCTGTCCCAAAGTCCATTAAAAGTTACTCTGTTTTACCTTTGCTGAGGTCACCATTAAAGTTTTACATGACACAGCAAGTTTGATGAAGTTGGGAAGATATTTCTTTTCAGTATGTTACCACAGCGTTGTGGGCATTGTGAAGGTGATGAAGAAGCCAGAAGGACTTATTTCCATGCTTTCCAAGGTTTGGTCTTGGTGGCTGTGTCCTGATGAAACCTTAACCTTATGGTTTTGTTTGTGCTGATTTCCAAGTTTGTCTTTTTATATACAGGATTGGAGCACCTCAAATCCCTCAAGATTTGGGAGGAGGAGGAAAACTGCACCATTGAAGCCACTCCGAGCTGTCTCAATCCTGCCAAAGGGCATGAAATGCAACACGCCTCACAGCAACGATGAAGTATTAGAAAAGTTACTGAAACTAATTAAGACAAGAGCAACATACCATATTTAATAGTGATGACAACCTGTCCGCAGGAGGTGACCTCCATGAAAGGAGGTATGCAGAACTCCTTCCCTTCCCAAAGCACACCAAAGCATTTCCTGGAAAATGGATACAGCCAGGAGATGCTGCAACAACAGCATACGAGCCTTCACTCTCCCCTCTCTCAGGGTCCTTTCTTTTCTGCCCATGTGAGGCACATCTCTTCACCTTCAAACCTGCCAGATGTGACACCAGCACTCATAATGCATGAAAGATGGCCAAAATGTTATTAGAAAATTTGATCTCTGCTGCCACATTTTTTGTGTGGATTAAACAAAACATTTATCCTTGTTAAAGTCCTAATTTGCAAACATTCCAGCTGCTGTCATTCCTCGTGATAGCTAGTACATTTTGTGAGCTTAAATGTGGCTTCTCATTCCTCAAGATGAAGCAGGGGTCTAGTGAAAGGGACCAGTTTTGGGGGAGGGTTCGGGTCTCCCATGAGAGAGACTAAACCTCCCCCCCTCACCCCAGCTCTCCTAGGGCCAGCAATGAATGCCAATATTTGCTTAATGAAAATAGTGAATAGTATTATATAATGACATGAATAATGGAGTAGAATGTATGCTTATAAACTCTCTGGATGACACCAAGCTGGGAGGGATTGCAAGCACTTTGGCAGACAGAATTAGAATTTAAAATGATCTTGACAAATTAGAGAATTGGTCTGAAGCCAACAAGATGAAATTAAATAAAGACAAGTGCAAGATCTTTCACTTAGGAAGAAAAAATTAAATGCAAAACTACAAAATGGAGAATAACTGGATAGCTGGTAATATTGCTGAAAAAGAGCTGGGGTTTATAGTGGATCACAAACTCAATATTAGTGAACAGTGTGATATAGTTGTGAAAAAAGCTAATATTCTAGGGCATATTAACAGGAGTTTTGAATAGAAGACATGGGAGGTAGTTGTCCCATTCTACTTGGCACTGGTAAGGCCTCAGCTGCGTCCAAGTGTGGGTGCTTAAGGAAAGATGGAGAGAGTCCAGTGGAGAGCAACAAAAATGATAAAACGTTTAGAAAACCTGACTTATGAGGGAAGGTTAAAAAACTGGGCATGGTTAGTCTTGAGAAAAGACGATTGGGGATGGCCTGATAACGGTCTTCAGATGTGTTAAGGGCTGTTATAAAGAGGACTGTGATTAATTGTTCTCTATGTCCACTTAAAGTAGAAGTAGTAATGGGCTTAATCTGCAGCAGGGGAATTTTAGGTTAGCTATTAGGAAAAAAACTTTCTAACTATGAGGGTAGTTAAGTTCTGGAAAAGGCTTCCAAGGGAGGTTATGGAATCGCCATCACTGGAGGTTTTTAAAAATGGGTTGGACAAACACCTGTCAGGAATGGTCTAGGTTTAACTGATCCAGCGTCATCACAGGAGGCTGGATTTGATGACCTCTAGAGGTCCTTTCCAGTCCTACATTTCTAGGATTCTATTCCAAAATGTCTTTTTTGTCCTATACTGGAAACAGTTGAGTAAACCAAAATTGATAGCGTAGCGCTTTGTCTCGTTAAAGCAGCTGACCACCTGGAGGTTTATGAGTCTGCTTCTGCCATTAAGCTAATGGCCCTACTAATTGGCAGCACGGGCTTTTAAACCTTGAAGTGGTAGGTTCATTCTCCCACCGATGATCTGACTGGGGACCATCATTAGACATCATCTAGCCCCCAATCAAAAAAAAAAAAAAATCCCACACATAGTTAATTTGGGTTACACACCCTATCTGGGGAAGACTGTCCAGAGTTGCAGAAATCCACAAGTGTTCAAATCCCCATACATGTTTGCAGGGATTGGACCTAAATGTATTTAGTGCTTGAGCTCAAGAAACAGGTCAGAGGTACGAGTAGACTCTCAAACCACAATCCATGGTCTACTGTTACCTGAGGATGGAGGGCCAAATTATATTAGCAAGAGTGACAATGCCATCTTCTGAAGTCTTGTAGTGTGGTAGTAAGCCATATGTCTGATACTTTGTGTCATTCTAAACCCTCTGTGTATAGTGTGTGTCTTCAGCAACATTGTGCCAACAAAAGGAGCATAGGAGTTAGGTCATCAGTAACAATGGTTACCTTGACCAGTAACATATCATTTTCAACATTCAAACACTAACTTTTTTAAACCTTCAATTGCTGTTTATACAAAACATTACCACTTTTAAGAAACATTGTTACAAATAAATTGAACTCCCCCCCCCCATTTAATTTCATACATCACATTGCTCTACGTTTAAAAAAGGAGATTCGAAGAAAATGTCGGACATGAGCCAAGATTTGGGCAAGTGGTACTTTTTCAAACCATCAGAACTAACATTTTCCCTCACCAAACACTGCTACGGACTGTTCAAGCAGCTCATTAAATTGATCTTCAGACTCCAAACACAGACTTTTAGAGACCCCCTTTTCACTCCTATTAAAATAGAAATCCCGGCACAATCTTAACTATTATACTGCTACCACATCCACAATAAAAACACCGGGCTTTAAACACACACACATAATTACCTCAAATTTGTATAAAATATATTTTAATTTCCCCTCTCCGTTCATCATCATAAATATTTACAAAAGACATTGTACAATGTAGAATAGTGTGAAATCAGCAGGTTTGACAAATGGGGTTTTGCAAACAGAAAGGGTTCAATAAAGCAGCTAACAGACATACATACTGTACAGGTTGCTGATTACAAAGGGCTCAGCAAACTAGCGGAACAAAACTAGTTCTACAATAGGTTTGCCTCTAAGGTAAAAAAGGTTTTCCAGGAGTAATCTGGGAGGAATCCCAAAACAGTGGTTTGATTATGCATGGTAATATCATCTCTTGTAAGAATCAATACTCCATTCTTGCATGGGAGCATCTGGACTCTTCTTTGAACAATCTGGTTTTAAACTGTTTATTTCTCTGGGTTACCTATAGAACTTGTTTTAATTAGAATTTATTTTTACTTTAAACGTTCAATTAGTAAATGTAGAATAAGGAAAACAGCCATTGTGTTTCATAGCTTTCCCTACAGTTAAAGTAATAATTAGAATCCATCTTTCAGAAACAGTTATAAAAATAGAATCTGATCACCATTCTGAAAAAGAGTCCTGATTTTCTGTGTTGCTCCATACCAAGGGCCAAATTCAGCTCTAGCAGTAAAATTATATCAGATATTATTGTCCCCAGGGTTGGAAATATATACATTTCAGACATCTCAGTAATCTCCTCTAATGTCTATAAGGTATACAGCTGTCCCAGTTAAGTATAGGAGTTAATGCATCACAGAAGAAGATTATAGTATCCCACCTTTCAGAGTCAAATTATTGTCAAACAGAGGAAGTTTGACATCTAGTGGCTATTTAGGGTAATTACTTAGTACTTTTTCTTGAAATATCCTAGGAAATTTTCTATACACCATTCTACACTCTTATTTAGATGCATCGGCAGTCTGCCGAGTGTCAACCATCACCTTTAATGTTAGGCATATGTGTACATCATCTGCAATCTCTTCCGTTAAAATATTAATAATTTTACATTTAGAAGACATACTGCTTACAAAGTGAACCTGTGTTTTCAAATTGTAAAAAATATTCTAAAATGAAAGGTCTACACATCTCAAACATTTTCAATGCTTTTCTTTCATTTCATGAATTTGGGGCGGGGGGGGGAGCATATATGGCATAATCCTTTGACTGACTCACTCATTTATCTGCACATACAATGTACGAGGTAACACATCCGTACCTGGATACTAATACCATATTGTTTTAATACAACATATTAACGGTGCTGCACTCAAGGGTCACTGGATCACATGTTTTGCAAGAAGATTATAATATTAGAAATAAGAATGCGAAATACATCAATTATATATTAAAGGATTGTAGTAGCACAAAAAAAGTATTTGCAGCTAGTATTAAGTAATAGAATACTCTTTTATATAATACCTTTTATAGTACTTGTATTTTGGAGAAATCAATTCAGTGCATACCCCATATTGCCACTTGCGAACCACCTATTGCCAATACACACACACACACACACGTACGTTTCTCCTACTATTTTGTGTAGTTACATAACTCAAATGTAGTTTCAACAGTCTCAATTAATAGATAGAGATAAAGGCCAGGATTCTTTCAAAAGTGGCTAGTGATTTTGGATGCCTCAGTGTTTAAGACCTCAACCTTAGACACCTAATATTGGTGAGCAAAGCTTGCAAAACTGTATATTATATAACTGTATGTTACATAAGACATTAAGCAGGAAAAAGCCATTAAGGTCAAACATACTTTACCACTTCTGACTAGTCTTAATCCCACTTTATTACTTTTTAAAATCTCCAGCTCCTCAATTCTCACTTTTCTCCAGATTATAAGATTATATTAACTAATTTTATATCTGCTCTCTTTAAATAGCTATGCTCTATAACAGTGGTTTCAATTTATGGTCCGTGGACCTCTGGAGGTCCATAGACTATGTCTAAGATTTCCAGAGGGATCCATCTATCCCTTCATTCAAATTTTTTTAGGGAACTGCAAATGAAAAGAGGTTGACATCCACTGTTCTATAACATATTTCCAAGGCAATAATATCCCCTGAACTATAGTGACCAAATTGCTTTATTACAGTTACAATATTACTACTTTGGTTGTGTGTTCTGTCCTCTGCTAATATATTTAAATAATACTTTGTATTAAACTATTTTGTTTCTCTCCTTCTGCACCTGTCACATTTGTGCTGTGGGACAATGTTTAACATTGTTTGTCCAGAACTCTCAAAGACTATTGTTTTTTCTTTTGTTTTTACTTGACTACAAAAATTGCACACAATACTTTTAGAAAGGGCAAAGAATTTTAAAATGTAGTGTCCCCTTTTGTACTATAGTACTTTATCTTACAATTTTGCAGTGTGGAAACCATATTTTCAAAGAAAGCATAGAGGTACAAAAACAAACATATCTCAAACTGCGCAAGTAGAGAAAGTCCTACAGAAGTGACATGTATAAATAATACACTTTTCCACTCAATTCGTAGAAGAAAATTACAAATAAAAGCTTTCTTTAAAAAGTATTAAAACATTCAGATTAACACAGTTATTCCTATACATTGTACGGTATCTTTGGGTTAAAGCTTTTTAGCAAAAATATAACCACGACTTGTAAGCACTCTAGTTAGATATGGAGCAAAAAAATTTTGAGGCTGTTGGTCATGAAAAAAATCACATTTTTTCCATATGTGCAGAAAAAGCCATTTCTTTGTGAACAAAGCATAAAAGTCTTAGCAAATATACAGATAGTAAATATGAATTAAAATAAAGCCTTAAAAATTACCAATACAGTACTTGAGGATGTGTGGTTGTTGTGCATTACAGAATTTTACATTCTTCTCATTTGTATAAAAAAGAACCACTAGGAAGCCCATTGTATATCACTGAGTTCTGTTGGATCCCCGAGGCCTCCTTCAGCTTCCAAGTAATTCATGAGTGAAGCCATGGCAGTGTCATCATTTTCACACACTGCATCAAAATCCAACTGGCAACTGTCACCTAGGAAATAAGTAAAGAACACTATTTATGCAGCACAAAAACTTACAGAACAAGGTCACTTTCCAAACAAACTTACTTTTAAAACAGCAGCTGTCCTTGAAGACAAAGGGCACTTTACATTCTTACATGTGTTCAAAGATGGGTAAATTGAAGCAAGGTTTGGATTCAGGAGAGACAGTCAAAAAAATAGGTAACTTGATTCTGGGACTAAACTTATGCCACTCCAGAGGCATACCTTAAACTTCATGCTAATAAAATGACAAATTTCAATTCATGCCAGTTAACTGGCAAACTTCACGCCACACCACTTAAGCAGAAAATTTTATTCCAGTTCACGACACTGAAGGGGGAAAACTCACCTGTCACAGCACACAAAAGAAGAGCTGATCAATTTTTTTCTTCTTGGTTTAAAAAAATGGCCTTATTTTAAATAATCAAAATTTCAAAAGACATTGTTTTCATTTTTCACATTGTTTTCCACATTTTTATTTTAAAACATTCCAGAATTTTGTATTTACCAAAATCTCAGTTTTTGATAGAAAACAAGATTTCAATATAAAAGAAAAACAGGTCAGTCTCAGACCATATGAAATGGAAACAACTTCAAAATTTCAACCTGTATTGCAAAATGTTAATGTTTCTCTCAGCTCTACATACACAAGCATTCATACTTTTTACATGGAGGGTCTGTACATCATGGCAGATTATATTCAGTTCCCTTAATCCTGCACAGCTCCTATTTTTGGAAGGAAGAGCTGTGAAGCAGTCTATTTGTGAGTAGTGGAGAGCAAGAGAACAGACAGTAAACTTCTACTCAGGCTCTCTCTGCTATCATGGGGTATAATTATAATGGGAACCATGATAATCTCTCAAAACTGGCAGCATTTTTGAACACACCTACTATACTACCTTGTGATAAAGCTGCAACCATTAACAGAGTTTTCTTTAAAGGATAAGTCATGAATTGTAGTAAAAGAGCTCTTACTGAGAAGAGGTTCATTGCTTGGGAATGAAACAGTGTCCTGATTTTGCCCCAAGGTCTCTAAGCCCTCCATTTCTGAAGGACATAACCGAATCGACTCTTTATTTGGCACCTGAAAGCACACAAAAAATGAAAATAATAAAGTTAGGTTATAAATTGATTAAAACCACCACACAAATTAATGAATTTCTCTCTAAGTCTAAAAAACGATCAAGGCTTCCATTTTCCACTTCATGTGCCATAATCTCTACAAGTTTACTGTAACAATAAAAATATATTTTCATGAAAAATACATTCTAGCTTTAAAAAAGACCCACCACATTTTAGTTTCCATACGTAAACTAAATTATTTGGACTGTGAAAATTTGTTTTAAAAAAAGCTGGTATTTCTGTTGTATTTTAAATCTTGTGTTCAGCATTCTAAGATTTAAAATGGTTTTAAATGGGTTTTAGTGCTTACAAGGAGTCTAGGAGTGCCAGGTTGACAGCAGTGGAAACTGACGTCTTTTCACCTCCAAGATAACAGAGCAAGATCTACCACGGTGGTTTGGCAGTAAACCACTTTTCCTATAGGGGACCGTCCCTAGGGGCAAGAGCCAGGGATAGCTCTGCCACTGCAGCTGTGGAAACAGTTTCCCACATAGAAAAATGAAAAGAGTCCCAGTAAAATAAATTTGTCTTCATCCCTAGTCCATGCACCATTCATATCTGTAATTTAAACCGAGTACCTCTCTGAGCCCTCTGTTATCTTGGATTCTATGGCACACATTACAGTAGTAGAAGAGAAAACAACAAGACTTCACTGAAGTAACCAGGAACAACACTAAGGGACACATTCAAAGAGAACCTTTAAATCAACACAATATATAGCTGAAGTCCTGGAGAGTGGTTCTATGACCGTAGGCTGCACTAATTAGAGGAAAAAGAAAAGGAGTACTTGTGGCACCTTAGAGGCTAACAAATTTATTTGAGCATAAGCTTTCGTGAGCTTCAGCTCTCTTCATCGGATGCATTCATTTTTTTTTCCTCTCCACTGAATGCATTCGATGAAGTGAGCTGTAGCTCACGAAAGCTTATGCTCAAACAAATGTGTTAGTCTCTAAGGTGCCACAAGTACTCTTTTTCTTCTTGCGAATACAGACTAACACGGCTGCTACTCTGAAACTAATTAGAGGGTAGTTCAATATCTATGAGCCAATCAGTTCTGAGAAGGACAGACCTACAGTAATCCATGGGTGGAATGGACATCAGATATTAAAGAGGGAGAAAGGAGGGAAAAAAATCAATCAGTGTAGCACAACGCTGTTGAAAGAAACTCAGAATCAGAGAAGAAAAGCTACCGTATATACTCGTTCATAAGCCAAATTTTTTTTTAGTAAAAAAAGGGAAGCATCAGAGAAGGGGGTCAGCTTATGAACGGGTATAGAGAAGGGAGAGGTGGGACACAGCCACCCTCCCCAACAGAGGGGGCAAGAAGAGGCAGCACAGCCAGCAGAGCCAGAAGGGAAGAGGCGGGGCCAGAGTCTCTCCACTTCTGACCACGCTGCTCTCCCGCCAGCCTCTGAAGCAGCTGCAGCTCAGGGGCTGGCAGGCTGTGACTGCGCTGCCTGGCCTGCTGGAGCAGCTCCAGCCGGGCCAGACAGCCTCCCCTGGCCAGCCCCTGGTAAGGTGGGAAGGGATGGGATGGGGGGGGGGGGGGATCCCGGGCTAGGGGTGGGGCGGAAAGGGGTTACACGGGGAGGGGTCATGTAGGGAGTGGTCACAGGGGTTACTTCCCTGACCCCCAGCTTCTCCCCTACAAAACATTTTCCCACCAGTTGCTGTCCCGGGACATTTTGTTTACTTAAGTTTACCTGCGTGCCTGCAGACGCTCGAGGAAACAAACCATCTTGGCCCACCAGCAGCTTATCCTGATGGGCCAGGAGCCAAAGTTTGCTGACCCCTGAATTATAGGGTTGGCTTATGAATGGGTCATAAAACTAAGCCATTTTTACTTATCCATCTTGAGGGGATGGGGTGGGGGTGTTGGGAGTCGGCTTATAAACTATCTGGCTTATGATTGAGTACATAAGGTACGTTTAAGTGGAAAGACAGTGACTGGATTCACAACAATGTTGTTGGAAGGAAAGAAATAAGGGATTGGGAGTATGGTGTACATTGATAACAGTAAGGGCAATATTGTACAATCTTGCAAAAAGATTCTTTATGCATACCCACCCCTATGCTGTGACATCAGTCAACATAGAAGGGTTAGATAGAAGGGTAGAGTCTCATAGCCCTGGTCTACACTGGGGTGGGGGCAGAAATCGATCTAAGTTACGCAACTTCAGCTACGTGAATAACGTAGCTGAAGTTGACGTACTTAGATCGACTCACCGTGGTGTCTTCACCACAGCGAGTCCACTGCTGCCGCTCCCCCGTCGACTCCGCCTGCGCCTCTCGTGGTGGTGGAGTACAGGAGTCGACGGGAGAGTGCTCGGGGGTCGATTTATCGCCTCTAGATGCGATAAATTGACCCCCGCCGGATCGATTGCTGCCTGCCGATCCGGCGGGTAGTGTGGACATACCCATAGAATATGCTGCTTCTCCACCTCTTTTATAAAAAGATTTAAAATTCAGAGGATACACCTCAATGGATTACAATTGTTTCACAGTAGAGAGGGTGAAAGGTACATAGGAATGGTCATAGGAACCAGACATTTATCTTCATATTGCTGAATTGAATTCAGTCTTGGTGAATATTTTTTAACTATCTGATGGCTCCTGGGTGGTGGTTTCAAATAATTTCCAAGTTTAGAAAAGTCCACATCACAAAAAACACCCTCCCCACATCTAGCATTTTTTTGTAGCCTCAGCAAAGATCCCCCAAGACCTTAGTCTTCCCAGCCCTGAGGGATGGTTACTCAAGGCTTGAACTGAGGTTCACTGGTGGTGTAGTGAAGAGAAGTTTGTACTCTTGTTGCCTGTGTCGTACCTCTTCTGTGAGCAGAAGACTTCAATACCCAGGATTGTCAGACACCTTGCACTGGCACTAATTCACACACAAAAATCAGTTTTAAGGTAGATCAAATGTAGGCTTTGAATTATTTGATAGTGACCTTTCATTGAAAGTTCTTGGTGTTAATGATATACTTACATTGCTGCATTTTGGAGTTAAAGTTGGAAAAGATTTCCTCATAAGATCAGATGGACTTAACTCACCAATAGATGGAGAACAGTGTAACCTAAAAAATATACATATGCATGTTGTACAATACATTCACTGTTGAGTATGAACTTCAATCCCTTCCATTTTAAAATGAGAAACTTATTTTGTCAGAGCATAGCAGTACCCACCAAAAAACCACAGGTGATAAGCTTTGAGACTTCAGACAACACTGCTTTGTCAAAAGCGAAGCTTAAATTCGGTCACATAGCTCACACACTTCCTGCTCCAAATTTTGGTAAAGACAGAGAACCAGTGGATCATCATGACACAGGATAATTAGTAGAACCCATTTTTGCTTTTTCTCAATTATCAAAATTAACAGACTTCAGGAAAAACTGTCATGAACACTTCAGTACAAAACTACTCGCTCTGGAGCACATAGTTTCCAAATATCAGAATACAGCTGTTCAGAAATTTTGGTATATAACAGAGTGGGATGAAAAAGAAAAAAAAAAAAAAAAAAAAGGATGGACTCTCCACAGGTCCTCTTGATATTTGCTTTTACTTCTAGTGTTATTTCATGAAGTTCTATCCTTTCCTTAAATTCTGGCGGGAAAACGAAAGTTACCTCTTTGAGATGGACTCTGCACATACACTCATGAGAGCCTTGGAGATGCAGCACTGATGGCAGAACAACCTTGTAGCAGTGGCATTGGAGCACTCTCATGCCTTCTCCTGCGCCTCCCCTCACTGTTCCTGAACATTCTGCACGAGAGGCGAAAAAGGGGGGCCATGGAGCTCCAGCTGCCTCAGTTCTTACCACAGCCTCCCCAGGTTCAAAGTTGCAATTAGGACTCTGAGGAAAAGGGGAAGGTGGGTAGGGAGTGTGAATGTGAAGAGTCCATTTAGATGAGGACCAGTTATAAAGGAGTAACCTTCATTTCTTTGAGTGGTCTCTGTACATTTTTCATGGGATAGTTTCACAAGCAGTACTAGTCTCTAGAGGGTGAGGTGCTGAGTCCTAACTGAATTATCATTGTAGTACTGCCTTACCAAACTGAGCATCAACCAGGACGCTAGATCTAGGGAGTAGCGCTTTGTGAAAGTATGAATAGAGCTTCAGGTTGCAGTTCTGCTTACTTCTAAAAACTGGGATATGCCTGAGGCATGCCATGGAAGCCACCTTTGCCCTTTGGAGTGTTATCTAAACTACAGTGGGAGAGAAACATCTGCTTGTAGCTTTCCTCTATACAAAACTAACCCACTTACATAAATGCTGAGATGTACTTGGCTGTTCTTTATTTTCACTACCCCCATATGAAATTAAAGCTTTGTTGACTTTCTAAATTCCTTAGAACCATTTAAGTAGAAGGCTATTGCCCTCTTGGCAGCCAAAGTATGCAGTTTTACCAGATCAATGTCTGGATGGACTGATGGAGGTGTGTAGAAGAATGGACTCATTGTTGGAGCACCTGCTCACAGCTGGTGCTGGGGGAGCTTTTTCTTCTCTAATGCCCCCTGCTGATGATTGCTTTGGTCCCGCAGCAGTCATCATCTTCTGAAACTCAGCCCTCCAAGCAGATCATGTTTTATTTCTACCCATTTCAGACTCATAAAAAGTCCAACAAATAGTCCCAATCATTACATCTGGTCTTTGACCCTCAACTCTGGATCCCACCATTGCTATATTGCTGCACTTAGGGCTTTCAGTTGTCTTTAATCCCTTCTTAGGGGCCTCCCGTCACCTTCCCAAGTGACTGCTCAGGGAATCCAGGCCCTCCTACTACACTGGGTTCCAATCCAAGGACCCTGTAATCAGCAGCTGAGGTCTGCTCAGTCAGACCTTTTCTGCTGCCTCTATGGACTTCTTCCTACCCATAGCCTTTTTGCAAGCCCCTTTCTGGGCTCTTGTAATGAGCAATGCCTCCCAGGGCTTCTCCCTGAGTGTTTGGTTCCTGCCCTTGGCAGTGTTGCAGATCCACCACAACTCTCATGTCAGGGCTCCTGCAAACAGGCTCCATGCAGTATTCCACTCCCAAGGTCCTTCCATCTAGGAGTTCTACCTCTGCCCAAATCCTCCAGGATCACCCTCCTGCTCTTGGGTTCGGCCTCTTCCTGGTTGGGCCAGATCTTCCCCTTTACCTCAGGACCCTGCATGAGCCTTCTACCTAATGGGACATCCCAGCTCTAGTCAGTTCCACCACAACTTTCTCTGCGCCAACTCCTGCACTTCAGTTCTTTACTACCAAGAGAGGGACTGCAGGGTTCCTTTCCCTTTCTCCCTGCAGGCCCCTTCTGCTGGGGACCTCCTACTTTTATAGCCTCACCCAGCTCTTTCCCAGCAGGGCTTCATCTTGAATTAGGCTTCGCTCACCACCCAGGTACAAGCAGGTGAGTTAATTGGCCTCTCAAGCCCACATTAACCCTTTCAAACTGAGGATGGGGTATTCATCACACTACCCCTCAAGACTGTACCCTGCCTGGTACAAGGTCTTTTTGCCTTGGGGAGGAGCCTTCTTTAATTGTGCCTATTATCCACCTGTGCATCCCCCCTTCTCATCTTCCAGGAGCACTATCTGAAACTCCAACCTAAACTTCTCTTCAGCTCCCACCTCTCTCTCTTCAGGGCTCCCACAAGGACTTCTCTACTGTTTCTAGTTTTCCTCTTAGACTTGCTGCCTTCAACACCACATCCTCAGTCCCAACCCCCTTAGGTGCTTCCACCACCAAGGCCTCTGGCTTTTTCACCCAGCCCTCAAGTCGCTGATGCGGAGCGGGAGGGTGGTGGTGGTGTCAACCATGTTTTATTAGGGGCAGTGATCTGTATCTGCACTCTCATAAATCTACAGCTAAGGGTAGCATAAAATCCCTCCTTTACCTGTAAGGGGTTAAAAAGCTGAAATAACCTGGTTGGCACCTGACCAAAAGGACCAATAAGGGAGGAAGATCCTTTCAAATCTGTGGGGGGAGGTTTTGTTTGTGCTCTCTGTGTGTGCTCTCTCGGGACAGAGAGAGGGACCAGGCAGGAGAAAAACCTCTCCTAAAACCCTACCTGAAATAAGCATCTAAGATTACAAAAATTATAAGTAAAGCAAGGAAATGCGTTAGATTATCTTTTGTTTTATCTTGTGAATTTTCCCTATGCTAAGAGGGAGGTTTATTCCTGTTTTCTTGTAACCTTAAAAGTTTTGCCTAGAGGGTGTTTTAAATCTTATTACCCTGTAAAATTACCTTCCATCCTGATTTTACAGAGGTGCTTCTTTTACTTTTTTCTTTATAATAAAGTTCTGCTTTTAAGAACCTGATTTGTTTTTAGTGTCATAAAAACCCAAGGGTCTGGTCTGTGCTCACCTTGTTTACCTATTTGGTTGGTATATTTTTCTCAAGCCTCCCCAGGAAAGGGGGTGAAGGGGCTTAGGGGGATATTTTGGGGAAACAGGAACTCCAAGTTGTCCTTTTCCTGAATCTTTGTCTAACTCACTTGGTGGTGGCAGCAATACCGTCCAGGGACGAGGAAGAATTTGTGGCTTGGGGAAGTTTTTAATCTAAGCTGGTAGAAACAAGCTGAGGGGGGTCTTTCATGTGGGACTCCACATCTGCACCCCAGAGTTCAGAGTGGGGAGGGAACCCTGACATACAAACATATTGTTCAGACTCTGTATTTACCCCAACTTCCACCCAATTTGTTGCAGGGGTAGTACACCTCTGTGTTCCCTCGAGCCTCCTAACTAATAGGGCTTAGTTAGCTGTCAGGGCCACAGCCACACCTGTTTTACCTGCAACCATTATACTGGCACTGCAGGACAGCCACTCCTTCTCTTCCCCATTGCTCAGGCCCCATTCTCTCTCTAGCTGCAGCTCACTTTCCCTTGAGGGTAGTGCCTGTTTAAATGCCCCACTACCATACCAAAAATCTCCTTACCCATGATTTGGCCAAGCCTTTTCAGTTATTTCCATGCTTTTCCCCCCAGAGCAAGCCTGTGTGTCATGATACACATAGGGGAAGGCCTTTCCTGCCCACCAGCATAGCACACGACCCTGGCTGGTCCTCGGCACTCCTGGCTCCCAAATAATTTTTCTTTACCCTATGCCTGTGGCAACTGAGTGCTTCCTTTCTCAGGCTCTCCAGGAGGTTTGTTGCTCCTTCTCCAATAAGAACAGTCACTCTGTAGATCCAAACTGCACCTCCCACTGCAACTGTTGGTTCTCCAGGAACTACAACAGTGCCTGAGTCTGCTTTGGGTGCTTAGTCTTTTCCTGAAACAAACCCATGAAATCTGGCAACCACATAATGTCCCTCCATGCTCCACAGTGGGAGAGTAACCCTTTCAAGAAGGCCTCAGTATATACTAACTCCTCCCTCTTTTTTTCTTTCCTTTTTCCTATGCACCAGTGACCCTTCTCACTTTCTCCTTATTTGAGAGCTGACTGTTCTGTCTGCACTCTTCACCTATGTAGAAGAGCGAACTTACAACTGGAGCATCCCCTCATAGCTGGGCGTGGTGTAGCAGCTCTTTCTTCTTTAACTTCCCCTGCCAATGATCACTCTAGTTCCACAGTGGTCCGCCTCTTCTGGCAACAACATGCGTCCTGCGCATGTAATAGAATGAGGAGGAAGGGTATTGTTATTTAAAGGCTGGAATACCAGTTCTTCTTCTTGATGGTTGTTAGGATATAGATATTCAGGCCTGTTTGCAAAGGCCTATACTCTAAGAATTTAGGTGTATTCTTATCACTTAGCCAGTTATAGAGGTATAAAAGAAAGACTCAAAATCACTGTCTGCCGGTGTAAGGGCCTTCTCTGACTGTGACAGTCTGAGGCCCTGTTCTTAGGCTAAGGCCTATGGCTAAGCAACAGAGGCAGCAATAAGCTGGGAAGCGAATGGTCACATCCTCACATTCCAAACTAGTCACATTGAAATAAAGTGCTATTGGGCTATTAGGAATACAATCCTGTCCTGATAATGCCTCTCGCCTCCACAGAAAGGGAAGTGCCTAGAAGCTGTAGAAGGAAACTTAGTTTGATAGCATCCTGTCTGGCAAGAACTCACTTATCAATAGCTGGGATGTGAAATC